CAAGCCCACCTTCGGCGTATAGATTATGGGCAGCCCCTTGTTCTGGTTGTACTTTCATCTAGCTTTTCGCCCACTGCCGTGTTTTGGCAGACTGGTCCTATTTATTGGATACATTTGTCAGCCTCCCCTAAGAAGGTAGTGACCCCTTACTATGATCTCATTTTACAAGTGTTGTGGAAGGCGCACAAGTTTAGCATTCAAACCTTTGGAAAGAGTCCTGATAAAATTATCCTTCCTTATGGTAAGGAGGAGGTGGAACATCTACAGATCTTCCATGATGGGTGGACCCTGTTTATTACATCTACAGGCGCCCAGTTTGATAACAATTATCCCAATAGCCCCTTGATGTCTTTTTTTAAACAACACCCTGTGATCTTTCCCAAGATTTTAAAGGAGAACCCTCTAGTTGGAGCTCGCTCAGTCTTTACAGACGGCTCCTCCAAGGGTTTCGCGGTGGTGGTTTCTTCTCAGGTGCAGAAGAGGGTACCCATAGGGCAGATGTCAGCACAAGCCGCCGAGTTGTTTGCATGCTTGATGGCTTTCCAAATGTTTGAGGGAGAGCCCTTTAATTTATATACTGATAGTGTTTATGTTGCCAACATTGTTAGACCTTTAGAAACTTCTCCATATGTTCTTCCAACCTCCCAGGTTCGTTCCTTATTAGTTCAGCTCCAACATCTTATTTGGCAGCGCATTCACCCTGCTTATGTGGGATTTATTCATGCACATACTAACCTTCCAGGACCCCTTGCCCAGGGCAATCAAATTGCTGACTCCTTGACCCGCCCTAGGGTCTTATTTACTCAGGAGCAGCTGGCCCACCAGCCCCATGAGAGGTATCATCTAAATGCCCGCTCCATTAAATTTCACACTGGGTGCCCCTTATCCATAGCTACACAGATTACCTCTCAGTGCCCTGATTGTGCCCCTTATCATAATTCTCCCAATGAGGGGTAAATCCCGGGGCCTCAGGGCCAACCATCTCTGGCAAATGGATGTCACTCACCTGCCGCAGGCAGGGAAATTAAAATACATGCATGTCTCGGTGGATACGTATTCTAAACTGATTTTTGCCTCTCTCCACTCAGGAGAGAAGATTAAGGATGTTATTTCCCATTGCCTGCAGGCCTTTGCCTACATGGGTGTTCCTGATGCCCTAAAAACAGACAATGGCCCTGCCTATGTCAGCAATCGCTTTGCTGCCTTTTGCAGGGAACATCACATTGTCCATTCTTTTGGTATTCCTCACAACCCCACGGGACAGGCTATTGTGGAGCACACCCATGCCACTCTCAAACAGTATTTTAAGAAAATAAAAAAGGGGGAGTATGTTACCTCCCCCAATATTCAGTTATCCACCATACTTTACATTTTAAATTTTTTGACCATAGACTGTAATAATTTGTCTGCTATGGAGAGACATTGGAACAAACCCTCCCAGTCCTTGGGATGGGTCAGATGGAAGGATTTGATTACAGGAAAATGGCAGCCACCCACTCCCCTACTAGCTAGGGTCCGAGGGGCTGTTTGTGTTTTCCCTCCAGGAAGTGAGAAGCCCATTTGGGTCCCCGAACGGTGCATCAGGCATGTCGACCCCAATACTACTCCGGATACTAGGAATGCTCACCATGATAAAGATCCAACCATTGCTGAACACTCAGGTAAGGGAAATATGGGCGTTGGTGAGGATTCCCCCCCATGTTAATGCCAGTTAGTCATTCCAGCTCCCTGTTCATCAATTTTTATAACACCAATAATACATTGGGAGCGGCTGCTGCCAATGAGATTAAAAAGTCAGAAACTAGACATTCTGAGTTTCCCCCTCCTAAGCCTGATACCAGGGTCAGGAAGTAGGGGAATCCAAGAGATTCCCAGCGACATACGCTTTTAATCCCAACACACCTTTATGCAAGTCCCAGGACAGCCTCCAAACAATACAGAGAAACCTGACTCAAAAAAAAAAATTGGTACTGGTATTAATTAAAGAAAAAGACAAAGACAAAGGTATATGGAATGGAAAATTTTGTTTACATTTAAGTTCTATTTTGTGAGTCATCTCTAAAAACTTTTGGCCAAAAGCCTGGCCTCTCTACCTTGCATCTACAGAGTTACAAGGAGTAGGTACGGCTGTACCCCATGACTGTAGCTCAAATGGAGGAATGATAAAAACATATGGGACTTTTTAACCTTTTTAGTTCAAGGATTGGCTGGAGTTGTTCTTTTACATAGATTTCAATTAAGAAAGCTTCATTACAACAGACTAATCATAACCTAGGAAAAAGGATGACTAAAAGATACATATATGTTCTAAATGTATGGTGTGGCCACACCAGTATGTATAAAATGTAATTGTAAATGCGTGAGTGTAAACTGCTTATATGATTAAAAGGATACTTAAATCCCTTCAAAAATAGTTAAGAAGCTACCTAAATTGCTTTAAATATAGCCAAAAAAACATCCAGCCAGTCTGTTAATGTTTTAATTAAAAAAAAAATTTAAGATACAAATGAGGCCTTGTCAACTAGTAAGAGCTCTACAGGTTAGATTGGAGAAGACTACTCACAGACTTCAAATAATTTTCAAAAGTTATTTAGTAAGCCCAATTTACCTAGATAATTAACCAAGGAGGGTAGACAAATCCTTCTACTGTTATGGTCCAGCTTCAACAGTTCAAAAAAAAAACCTTTTTAAAAAATAAAAAAGGGGGAATAATGCCCCCAGTCCCCACATGACTCATCAAATAATACACTCCTCATTTAAAAATTTTATAATGTAAATGCCAGTGAGCTTCAGACAGATTCTGACATGATGGAACTTGAACAACCATTGCTCAGGTCAAATGGAGACATCCATACACTAGACAGTGGAGAAGACCCTAATTTGGGGTGGAGGGCATGTTTGTGTTTTCTTGCAGGAAAAGAATAAAGCTTCGACAGCTGTCAGACCATTTAGTGAGATGCATGGAGCAGAAAAAAACTGGACCTGAGACCATGGGAGCCTACCTAAGCCAGTTTGAGTGAGATCTCCTAAATCAGTGTTCTTGACCCTTGATGTCATCGAATCTACAGCCCAAAAAAGAAAAAAAAAACAGTCGGTTCGAGATTTCCAGTTTCTCAACAGACCTGCTACATCAACCTTCCGGACCCATGAGTTTTCATCATGAAGCCAACAGAGAAAAAAGGACCCATTTAAGGCATTTGGACATTGGTATGGACTATGATGAGTGGCAAAAGCCTCTTTTCAGTATTTGAACAGGACATGGTCACTTGAAATATCAGACTTGATGGTTCCTGTTTCTGGAATCACGACTAGGCCAGTGTATTTTTCTGGAGAAATGCAACTTGGCCTAATGCGACAACTATTGTTCATATTTTTCATAATGCTACATGTGTAACATCAATGATTGTACCTAATGTATCTGTGCAAGTGCACTTTCTAAATGCTTTCCTGAGCAGATCTTGGAACGATTGGAAACTTTATCAAATTGTAAATGTAAATCACATGCAGGTTACCCTTGGAACAGACGAAGGCTCGTAGAATGTTATGGCCCAGATCTGGTGATGGGTATGGTGATGGAGAGGCGCTATGTCGATGGGGGTCCTGGAAATGGTGGCAGTGGCGGTAGGCATTCTGGCTTTATGCCGAGCTCAAACGTGCCTTGTTCCAGAGACAAGAGATCCGTTAGCAAGTATTGCTTAGCTTAGCCCATGGCAATCCCGATAGCCATGAAGGTTGGTTACAGATGATTTAAGGTTGGGGTATCTCCGATGACGGGCAACCTGTGGGGAAGACCCCTCCCACCTAAAACAGGGGTTCAAGGTCCCCCAAAGACAGGAAAGGGAGGGTGACCCTACTTGACCTAAGCCAGGAGTGCCTCATTTGAAAATAAAAAGGGGTGAATTGTGGGAACACCAGACCTTGAGCAGAGACCCACTTCCCCTTCTGCCTGGGAGTAGGCAGCTGTAAGACAATGTTTAGTAAAAACATGTTTACTAAAAACGATACAATAAGTTCCTGGCCACTTCCCCTTCTGCCTGGGAGTAGGCAGCTGTAAGACAATGTTTAGTAAAAACATGTTTACTAAAAACGATACAATAAGTTCCTGGGAAAGGCCTTCCCACGGAAACCGCCCTGACCTCGACCTTGTCCAGAGACTAACCGCACCTTCAAAAAACCCACACACATCCACCTCTGGGTCAGGGCAGAACCAGCCAGGGTAGAGGAGAGAGCAGAAGCTTCTCTGGTGGGAGCTTTTCTTAGGAGGTTTTCTTGAACCTTTTTGGAGCCTGTTTAAAGTTTTCTTTATATCATTGAACGAGTCTCTGTGTTGTCAATCCCCGATACCCTCCGCACGTTCTCGGACACAGGCCGCACAGCAGACGTGACACCAGATCTTGTTATAGATGGTTGTGAGCCACCATGTGGTTGCTGGGAATTGAACTCAGGACCTCTGGTGGAGCAGTCAGTGCTCTTAACCTCTGAGCCATCTCTCCAGCCCCCGAACTGTCTTTTTAAGACATACATGCGGATTGCAATTACTCCTTTCTTACTGCATAATGAAAAAGAACTTATGAATGGTTCATAATTCCCTCAATTTAAAAAGGTTATTCTTGGTAAAACGGAAAATTTGCCAAGCTTTCTAGGTACTCAAGACCACCTCCTCAAACAAAAATCAGCTCTACCACTACTAATTAACACGTTCAAAGGCTTTAACTGTGGTATTCGTGCAGAAAATGGTGGGAAAGAGAATAAAGAGAACATGCGTCGAGCAACTATTACGGGTTTGGAAGTGCGGTGACGCCCATGTGCTCATATGACCTCCACGGTCATCTGCGAGACAAGAACCTGAGACTCAGGGCTTTGCTTAACTATCAAGGTCACAGGGCAGATGAGGCTCAGTCAGGAGAAGGCTTAGCTTGGACCCCCACCGTCCGCCAACTCCCCCCCACCCCCCGTGTCACACACCCCAAAAGCTCGCACGTAACCAAGGACAGACTCACATTGTTGTTGGTCACGGCGAAGTGCTGCAGATTGGTCAGGTACTGGATCTCCTCTGGGATGAAGGTCAGATGGTTATAACTCAGGTCCAGGTAGTATAGCTTGGTGCACAGGAACAGTTGCAAGGGCAGGCTCTCGATGTTATTGTGGTCCAGGAAGAGCTGCTCGAGGTTGGACAGCGCCCCCGATCTGGGCGGGGATGTAAGCGATGTTGTTGTGCCAGAGCTTCAAGCAGGAGAGGCTCGGCAGGTGCTGGAAGCTGATGACCTCCTCCACCGTCTTCAGGTTGTTTTCCTTCAGATCCAGCTCATGCAGGTTGTTCAGGCTGAAGATGGAGTGCGGGATGCGTTCCAGGTCACAGCTGAGAAGCTCCAGGCTCTTCAGGTTCACCATCTTCTTCAAGTTGTTCAGCACAACCAGCTTGCTCCCCTCGTTATCCAGGGACAGCTTCTGTAAGGAGGGAAGCAGGTCCGTCACCACCTGGGGGATCCGGGACAGGTTGCTCTTCAAGTAGAGGGTCCTCAGGTTCTTCAAGTCCTGAAAGCCCTCCAGCTGCGTGGTGCCCAGCTGCTCGGGGAGAACGCAGCCAGACAGGTACAGCTCCTTGAGGTTCTTCAGGTAGAACACCCAGCGAGGGATCTTCCCCATCTCGGTAAACTTCAGGCGAAGGATTTTCAAGTTGCCCTCCAGAAAGGCCAGGGCGGGATGGTCCACCACCAGAGACGAATGGTACAAATGGAGCTCCTTGAGGTTGACAAGCTGAGAGACGGTGGCGGGCAGCTTGACCTCGGGGATGAGCTCCAGGCTCAGCACCTCCATCTCCGTCAACTCAAAGACGTTATCCGGGAGACCGCTGAGCATGAAGAGGTGCAGCTCCAGCTTGTCCTGGGAGTTCCTCACCAGCTTGCTCTTTAGCTTCTCAACGGTCCACTCATTGTTGAGGCTGATCTGCTTCAGTTTGTTCTCGCTCACCTCCGACAGGAAGATGGAGAAGCGTTTGGAGTACAGGGGGTCGTACTGGTCGGCCAGATGGAGGATGAAGGCAAAGTCGTTCTTGACGTCGGGGATGTCGCTGTAGTTGCTTTTCTCCCTGAGAGCCTCAAAGGAGTACTGCTTCAAGGAACTCCTCAGCATCCACCACAGGCTGTAGGAGGAGGTGAGGCCGTAAAGGATCACCAACACCACATAAAAAGACGCCAGGACCTTAAAGATCTCTGCCAAGGAGTAGACGCACTGGTAACGCTTGTAGCCCGTGAACGCCTGCACGTCAATCAAGCAGTCAATCTCAAGAGTTATGCAGCTCAAAAAATACGGGACGTAAGCTATGATGACCACAAACAAGATGACTTTGACTATTATCTGCTTCAGGTACACCCGGTAAATGATGTCCCTCTGTTCCACGTGCAGGCGGAATCTTTTCACTTTCTCGAAGATGGCTTTGGCCTGCTCACCCTCCTTCTTGTCCAGGACACTAGAAGTGGGGCTTTCTACACCAGGAGACTCCAAGCCTGGCTGCGGGTAGGGCAATGCCTGCTTGTTGGCATCGGCTTCAGCAGAACCCCCCGAGGTTGAAAGCAAGGTCTTGGACTTGGAGGGTTTCAGGGTCCTCACCGACTGCTCGGCCACCGTCTCGGACAGGGCGCGCGTGGTCCACGGGGAGTCGAAGCACTTGTGAAGGATAGCCACAAAGTGCTCCAGCCTGGAGCTGGTGCTGGGGTAGTGGAGCCAGAAGTTGCTGCAGGCTGCGAAGATGAGCGTGTGCAGCAGCACCACGTAGGGGAAAAACTTGGCAAACCAGTGAAGCTGCTCCTCGTAACAGACGGCATCGACATAGGCGTACTGCTGCCGGTGGAGGTCGTTCTGGATCCGGAGCGGAGGCCTCACACTGCCGTCCGCATCAGAGGAGGACACGTTCTGGCTGGCTTTCAGGAGATCCCAAGGCACAGCGCAGTGATTGCCAAACTCCGCCTTGCATGGGAGGCAGCACAGAAGCCTGGTCTGGGTAAGCTGCAGGGCGCCAGCCAGCGCGGCCACCAGCAGCATGACGAGGGTGATGTAATACCAGAAGACATCCCACCACGGCTTCAGGATGTGATAAGACGACTCGGCATCCGCTAAGTACTTTAGCTCCGTTAGTGTGATCATGACTCCCTCGTAGAGAACAGAAACTGGGAGAGAGAATAAAAGAAACCCCCGCTGAAACCATCCCAACACACCTTTCTGTGCGTTTTGTGCTTGGGTAGCCCAGGCTGGCTTCAAACTCACGACGCTGCAGCCCAGGCTTCTCTTTAAGCTCCCAACCTTCCTGTTTCCACCTTCCGGTTGCTGGGGTTACACACCTGCACCACCACACGGGGCCACGGTGCATGCATTTAATACTAATACCTGAACATCCTTGTTTACCTACCTGGCAGGGATTTTAGCAGCCAGGCAAAACTCAGGAGGAAGCACTGGTCAACGGGCGTGTGAGGCTTAAATCACAGTGGACTGTAAAGCTTGGGGACCATTTGGTGACATCTATAAAGGGCACCGGGGGCAGTTCTCCAGTTACCGCCTGGGGTTTTAACTCCAAGGCTGGGCTAGCTGTTCTTACACTACATGTCCTGCCCACTAAAACCCGGAATAAGCCCTTTCTAGGCTGACCCCTCACCTCCCCCATGTCTGGAGTGTTGTTTACCACCCAAGAGTTATTTCAACCACCACCAGGAGGCTTTTTCAGCAATCTCTGCTTCCTAAATTTTCAGCAATCTCTGCTTCCTAAATGTATCATCCCCTGGTATCCCTCGGGCTTGGAGGGCTCCACCCATTCCTTACGAAGCAAATGGCAACATGAATTTCCCTCCCCTCCAGGCCTTCAACTATGTAACATAATTACCAGAGACTGTACAGATTCTTCAGGGCATCAAAAGTGGGGAAACAACAGGAAAGGTTTAGAAAGGGATCCGCGGAGAGAAGCCCCAAAGGAGAGCAAGGGAACTTCATGTGACAGCGGAGAGCTAAAGGGACACACGCTAATGGTAAGGGACACACGCTAATGGTAAGGGACACACGCTAATGGTAAGGGACACACGCTAATGGTAAGGGACACACGCTAATGGTGTCCCCCTTTGCTCATTATCCCTTCTTCAAAAGCAAGGTGCAAAGAGCTGACATTTTAAAAGTAAGTTATCTCAACAATACAGAGAAACCCTGTCTCATAAAAACAAAACAAAAAAAAAAAAAAAAGAGAGAGAGAGTAAGTTATCTCATCAGTGACGTTTTCTAGGAATCCCCCTTCTGTTGTGTTCATGATAACTTGGGGACTTAAGATGAGAATTTTCTATTTAGCTCACGTAACCCTTTTGGGGTTAGGGCGCTGGGCAAGGTTACATCACCTTGACACAAATTACGGTGCCTACACAGTGAGAGTAAGGTAGGATGAGAAGTAAGGGTCAGATCCCTAAAGGGCCAAATTCTTAAAAACTAACCAGCAACATCCAGACTCCCTGTAAGACAGAAGAGTGTCCCACACAGGGAGACGGTTGGATCTTACAAAGCGTTTGCAGGACAACAACTGTGGCAGTCTGAATGTAACTGGCCCCCGTAACCTCACAGGGAATGACACTATTAGGAGGTGTGTCTTTGTTGGAGTGGGTGTGGCCTTGCTGGAGGAAGTATGTCACTGTGGGGGCGGGCTTTGAGGTTTCCAATGCTCACAATACCTCCCAGTGTCTCAGCCGACTTCCTATTGCCTGAGAGATGTAGGACTCTCAGCTACTCCTCCAGCAAGCATGTCTGCCTGCCCACTGCCTGACTGTTGTCAGTCAGCCCCAGTTACATGTTTTCCTTTTTAAGAGCTGCTGTGGCCATGGTGTCTCTCCACAGCAGTAGAAAACCCTAACTAGGACAGCAACAACAAAACCGTGGTAGCTGGGAGGGCAGACCTACCCTGCGTCCAAGGGCTCCCTCTTGCCTTCTTGAGTATGAGGTTATCACCTTTCCTGGGTCTTGGCTACTTTCTGGGTACCGTTTTCACCAGTGATACCTCCACCGATGTCTCCTTGGTTCTCACTAGTCCTCCCAGAGAGATGTGTACTCGACCCTGAGTCCCAGGATTGCTACAATCTGAGTCCCAGGAGCCTGTCCCGGAGGCTGGCATCCCTGGCACGTCCCGCCCATCAGTCCAGCATCCCTGGCACGTCCCGCCCATCAGTCCAGCATCCCTGGCACGTCCCGCCCATCAGTCCACACCTTCTTGCCTGCCCTCTCATTTGTGGAAACACCCCCTGGTCCCTTATCTCAAGGATCAGATGAAACCAATAGAACGTTCTAGTAAAAAAACAAAATAAAACAACAACAAAAAAAACCCAAGAACGCAACAGAAAAGGATCATAGAGAACGTTACTGGATGAAATAACACAAAAAAGAACATCTTCATGAATTTTAACCAAGTGTGTAGGCATTCAGCATACGATGCAGAAGCTATCATGATGCCTCTCCTCCTGGAAGTAACTCCAAACGCACTCCCGGGTTTATCAAGCAGGGCTCGATGGAATCAGTTTTTTCCACTCTGTTGGTACCTCATCTGAGGTGAACAGACATTTGCTGTCTCCTTTAAGAAGTGGCAAGATGTACCTCATGGATGACAGCATGTGTGTATTTGTTTCAGAGGTAGAACTAGATGAGTAAAAGGTTTATAAAGGAAGACATATTTTAGGGAGGAGGTTCTCATGTAGCCCAGGCTGGCTTAAATTTGATATATAGTCAAGGCTGGCCTTGAATTTCTGGTAGAACTACAGTTACGTGCTACCATGTGAGGCCAGTCATCTGATTTCTTGTGTTGATGGAACATCACATAAGTGGATGTTCTTTAAACAGTTCAGCTCTCTGCCCTAGCTGGGTCTTGATGGATAAAATGACTGCCCACCAGGAAGGAACACTGCAAATCTCTTGTAATGGAAAGTGAGAGTGAATCATATCATCTCTAAAGATTTTTTGAAGCCTCGGTTTATGAGCTTATTCATTCCCTACAGTTCTTGAGAGTTACGGTCATTTAATATCTCAGACTGATATAGGGGAGAGATAGCAGCTCAAGCAATGACCAAAGTATTTGACAGGGGGTAGAGATTGCTCAACCAAGGCTACAAGCCAACACTGAGCTAAACAACAATGGTGTATGTATTTATACTTACTATCGTGAAGAAATGAATCAATTCAACCACACTTCAATCAGGAGGTCTGCACCTTTTGAAGTTTCTTAGACACACCATCTCTGAGTCTGTCTTCATCCTGAGAGGAAGCAGGAATATCTTGGAGATACTGTTTTCTGAGACCCTCTCCATCAAATGTCACACAAAGATGTGTTTCACAGGTCCACCCACAGAGCATCCTGGCAGAGCTCAGCAGATACCAGGATGCCACCCACATGCCTCAGACTATATACATCCCTGGACTTCCTTTTTATCACGGAGATATTTCTGCCAAAGTTTCAGCGTGCTATATTTAAAAGTTCTCTTTAACACTTACACTCTACTAAATATTTTAAATATGTTAATCTCTCTTGTCCCGCCTCATACGCAATCCGTCTTATTTTGCATTTGTCAGGTGGCTTACTGAACCATGAAATTTCTATTCCAACTTAAAACCATGTATCTGGGGGCTAGAGAGATAGCTCAGAGGTTAAGAGCACTGACTTCTCTTCCAGAGGTCCTGAGTTCAATTCCCAGCACCCACATGGTGGCTCACAACCATCTGTAATGAAATCTGGTGCCCTCTTCTGACCTGGAGGCAGAACACTGTATACATAATAAATAAATCTTAAAAAAAAAGCATGTATCTGTTCAAATAAGAATTCACAGTGTTCAAAAAAGAATTAGCCTGATAAGTTATGTTGTTACAAGGTTAAAAAAAAACAATATCATTTTTACACAGGGCTTAGAAGTACAGCTGTATTTCCCTGAAGTGATATCGTTTGATATATTCAGCCTTTGTGTTAATACTATTTTACCTTGCAGTTGATAACAGAATCTACTTGAAACAAGCCAGTGAGGTAAACACTAGGTCTTCATGTATTATAAACATAGAAAACAAGACTGGCCCAAACAAAAACTCCCCTTGCCCAATGTAACAAAACTGTCAGGGAAAAAAACAATTACAACTAGAAGCCTTGACCACAGATCACATGACCTCAGCAAATCTAATTAATTATGCCACGTCTCAGTTTTCTCAAAAGCTAGAGAAAAGGCTATTTAGCTCTTTGCCTAGCTCTCTGCCCGGCATCTGCATCAGGACTGAGTTTTATTATAGTCCCAGAAACAAGGGTGCAAGTGTTGTTTTCTGTAACTTTTCCAGCAACATAGTCACATACCACGTAACACGCATTCGCAGCTAAAGATTCCCCAGTAAATGCTTTCTGTTGAACCGACTTTACCCTTAAATACTGCACCAGGGTTTACAGATACATGAAAAGTCTCAAGCCCTCCTGTATTCAATGCTGATTCCTCTAATTGATGTGCTTAGAGTTGGAGCCATTATGCCAATGAATACTGCTTGTGCCCCAAACCTTTTCCAGACCACATATTAGCAACAATGAAGAGGGTTCAGTCCAAATGAGATCTCCAATCCTAACACACAAAGGCACTAAATCACTTCAAAGAAATAACGTGAAGAGTAATGGATTTTATGGTCCCAATCCCATTCCTTCAGCTTTTAAATCTCATTAAAAAGTCATCAAAGCTCTTCAAAGCATATGAATTCATCAGACAACCTCATCCCACTGTCTCCAAGATGGGAACAACAACACTCAAGTTAGGCAGCTAGGTTTCCCAGCAGTCCCTCTTTTACTTTGAAATCAATTCCAAAATAACTAGTGAAAATAAACAAGCGATGATCAGATGGTATTCAGTCATTACGTGCTGAGAACTTGATGCTATTTCAAAGATCTGGGTCTCTGATCTCAGACACGCAAGTGAAGCAAGGGCTGCCTCCACAGAATCCCACCATGGCACGCTGGGTCCAAAGCAGTGAGTGGGGCCACCAATCGGGAACCGAAACCTCCGGGAACATGACCCCAGATTTTATTGATGATAATCTAAGTACTTTGTCATAGTAACAGAAAGTTAATAAATGCAGTCAGTGGAGTTAAAATAAATTTAGATCTCCGTTTTCTGACATTATAGGATCTTACGGTTTGGTTTTGGTTTTGGTTTTGGTCTTGGAGACAGGGTTTCTCTGTATTGCTTTGGAGCCAGTCCTGGGACTCACTCTGCAGACCAGGCTGGCCTCAGACTCACAGAGATCTGCCTGCCTCTGCCTCCCGAGTGCTGGGATTAAAGGCATGTGCCGCCATCGCCCGACGGATCATACGGTTTTAACACATGAAGATGCAACACATAATTATACGACAAAGTGTAGGGAAAACATTCAGTTGTTTGTGCAGGGCATACTCCCAGTGACACAGCCTGTGAGATGGCCTGAGCGGGGAGCAGAGCATGAGGCTAACTGTTCTTCCCTCTGTATCTCGACGGCCCAAATCCCACGGAGGTTTATTTACGGAGATCTTTATGGGTCTTTAACAGTTTTGGCCAGCCCAAAATGTTCTCATACACCAGGAAGGCAGCTGGTGCCAACTCTCGAACCTGCACATTTCTCTGTTCAAACCACCTATCGAGGAAGTCTCAGGCTAGCCCAAGAGGAGGGGAAAGGACGCAGGCTGTACTTTTCTGTAGCAATAAATTCCCATCTATGCTCCGGCAACCTTCCGGTCATAAACGGTTTACATGTTTTCTACACGCAAAGCACACTGAAGCTCCTGCAGAAGTTTCACCCTACCAAGAGTCATCTAAATCAGGCCCAGGATGCTACAGGGCAGCCTCACGTCTGGCCGAGAGGACTGAGGGGACACTGCCTTAATTTACTTTCAAGTTTCTATTGAGGGTCTCACGCATGAGCCCTTACTTTTATTTATTTTTTTACTGTGAAATCAGGTATTTCTGACAGTGTTGCCCTGAATATAATGTTTGCAACCTAAGCCCTTTTGTGAGGTGTAGAATCGAGGGATTAGAATAAAAAAATCATTTTATTTAGGATCCTAGACAATTTCAGACAGGAAATATTTCCTCTAAACCCTGCTTAAAAGCTGAACATTCCTTAATCCCTTCCCCCTGCCTCCAACACTTGGATCACTGTGGCTGGAGAAGGGGCCTCTGTGCTCTCTGCTAATTTTCCACATAGGTGACAGTTTGCTGAGCGTCCTGTCCATGGAAAACAGGGATGCCGTTCTACATCCTCGAGTAACGGCTTCCTTACTGGCCCTCGACCACCGTGAGGACTATTTTCACAGAGATTAAAGGTCTCTTCCCTGCTGGCTGCACACTGTGCCGGTGCCGCGTGTTTCATTATGGTAGCTAGCTAGTCTCCCTTCAAGGTACCACTTCCTGCCACCATTATCTGGTCTGTCAAACATCTCACACCACGCATCTCAGTATCTAAAACAAGCATTTCATTATTTCCCACGATTCTGTTGAAGGACGAGCAGTTCTGTTCCACGTAGGATCTGCTGAGACGTCTGCAAAGCCCAGCGTAACCCAGTCACAGCACTGTACCTGGACCACGGCTGAGACCCCAGAGCCCAACCTGGGCTTTTGACTAAGGCCCTCCCAACGTCCAAGAAGTTCTTTAGGCTAACCATCAATGGAGCTGATTTCCATAGGCTTCAGAAGGCCTATGCCACTCGAGGCTCTACTTAGAGATCATGCTAGCAAGGAAACCAGTAACGGGGTCAGAATCCACCGAGGGATGCCATGGCCACCCAGGCTCAGGAACAGGGCCTTGGAATAGACTTCTTTGAGAGGAATCATTTCACTCTGGTAAAATAAGTGCTATTGAGGTGTGGAGGGCTGGTCAGATAGGGAAAGGCAGGGAAGGCAATATTCTGTGGGCACAGGGGTCAGAGTTTCAGTCAGTCAACAGAAAAAGCAAATGGAGTAGGGTAATGGTCATTCCGCAATCCCCTGATGAGTTTGTTAGGCAATCATAAGTAATGTTCTAGGTAAAAAAAAAAAAAGTCACTGTATTCATTGGAAGCTCTAGGAGAAAAGTACTGAACAAATAAAATTAAGCCGGATATGAAAGATATAAACTAAAGTTACTGAATGAATACAATCCTGAAATCCCAATGCACCTCAGTTAGTTTTTTTGTTAGTTTGTTTGTTTGTTTGTTTGTTTGGCAACAGGGTTTCACTATGTATCTTTGGTGGCCTGGACCTTGCTCTGTAGACCAGGCTGGCTTCGATCTCAAATATCCACCTGCCTCTTCCTCCTGAGAGCTGGGGTTAAAATGCTCAACTGTGCTCAGCTCTAAGGTTTTAAAGGTTAAGGAAGGTTGCTTTCCCGTCTCAGCAAGCTGCAGAATACATCATATACTAACTTTAGAGGACGGTTTGTTTTGGAAATATCATAAATTGGCAATGCTTCTAGTAAGCCACTATATTATCTACTCTGAATCTAAAACAAGACATTGGTTTTTGGCTTTGGGAGTTCTTATGGAGATGGGCTTGTTATGTAACCAGGGTTAACATGGGGCTCCCGATTCTCCTGCCTCAGTTTTCTGAATGCTGGGATGATAGTTGTGTGTGACCATATGGACTCTAAAACATGTTTTAAATTACAGAACTTGGAGCTGTATTAGTGGAAGAATAGTTTACTGGTGGGTGGATAATTCTCCCAAAGGTGGCATAGGAAGGCAAGCTTGAATTTTTATTTCTCATTATTTAAAAAAATATTTTCCTGGCCAACTCCCCAAAACCCCCAGGGTAAGAAAAGCCATAATAAAATGGGGCCGCACCCAGGCCCTCCACACTCTCTTGTCACAGATTCTCCTTTTAGGTTACCATGCAGAGAAAGGAGGACATCAGTTGGCGACATGTCATCCTTCTACACCCTTCACAGAGCAGTCACGTCGACTACAGAAACCAGAATCCACTCTTTACTGAGTAAGTAAACACAGTCAGAGTCGTTGAGTTCCTTCTGCACAGACAGAAGGTAACAGAACCTGGGTTACAGCCCAGGCTTGAGCCTGAAAACATTGGTAATCGTCTTCCCTAGAAACATGAAGCTGCAAATACTCAAGAAAACATTTGTTATCATCCTTTTTAAAGTGTAAAAAAAAATGAGAGATTTTTAGATCTGGCATAGGCAAACTAGTATACTTGAAAAATACTTAAAAGCAAGACGCAGCCAGTCAATATAAACCCTTTCTCTGGATTAGCAGTTGTACATTCGGCTACGGAGAGCAGGCACGTCAGGACAAGGGAGGGCAAGAGCAGAATTCCCTCTCTCCCCCCCTGGAACCGCCAGCCTCCTGTGCAGAGGACGAGGAGAGCGGAAAGTGAGACGCCATCTTCTACAGACCTTGCAGTGACCAAACGAGCAGGACAACGGGATAAACCTAGTAGATTCTATAAGTGGCTCCTACGCAAACAAGATGCAGAAAGGGAGTGGATGGAACATTCCTGAACAGCAGCACCAGTCAAAAAGAGCTCCGAGTTTAGCTGCTCACGCTCCAAATATAGATAACGCCTGTTCTGTCCCAACAGATCCTTAAGTCTTAGGGAAATACGGGCACACAAGACGGACAGCGAGCTACCAAAGAATGTTTGCCCGGTATGCACAAGGCCCTGGTGCAACCCTCAGTTGATGAGGTCTCTGCTCTCCTGTGTTTTACTGGGTAGGAAGAGAAGAAACAGTAACCAAGAAACATGGCGCGACCAGAAGCACCATGAAGACTAGGAACCTCAAGGAGAGAGATTAAAAGAGAGTCAGCGCTCGTCACTCAGCCCCACCGAGGAAGATGATTCCGTACGCTTGGGAGGTGTGAGGGTCAGACAGGAGTGTGCTTGGACTAAAGCCAGGAGCCTGGGACACGCAGAATGGCAGCATGCCTGCAGCCAAGGCAAAAAAGTTTGGATATGAAACAGGTCAGAAGGGATGGAGAGGCCACCAAATGGCCAGAAGCAGCAGAGCGGCAAACCCTCTCTGAGGTTTGAAAGACTTAACAAATCGGCGTGGAAACACGGACCCACAGCATGGATTTTTATCTTTGTCTACAAAAGTGTGGAACGAAGACAATCTCACTGGATTACCATCAAGTCTCTCAAACCTTGACCCTGAGCCCTGCCTGTGTTCAGAGACGGGTGACCCTTTTTTTTTGTTGTTTTTTGTTTTTTGTTTTTGTTTGTTTGTTTTTACGAGACAGGGTTTCTCTGTATTGTTTTGGAGGCTATCGGTCCAGCCTGGCCTCGAACTCACAGAGATCTACCTGCCTCTGCCTCCCGAGTGCTGGGATTAAAGGCGTGCGCCACCAACGCCCGGCGACGGGTGACCCTTTTAAGACAAGGTGCTGGATTCATACTCTGGAGTCCTGATGCTGAAGCCAGTGAGTGACATCCCTTCCCAACATTAATGGCAAATGCTCAGCCACAGAGCTACGTAAAGTAAGTCTTTCATAATTAAGAAAGAGGACCAATGTCTTCTGGAAGCGAACATGCACAGGGCTTGTATGTCTGACCTGCCCACTCAAGACAGGCAAATGACTAAATTTAATGTGGGAGCTCACTTGGTACAGTGTCTACCCGGGATGCATACAGCTAATTTCCAACAGGGCAGAGAGGCATGGTGGCACACATCTGAAATCCCAGAACTTGGAAGGCAGAATCAGGAGAGTCAGAAGTTCAAGACCTTCCTTGGTTACATAGTGAGTCTGCGATCAGCCTGGCATACAAGAGACTGTCTCTATGAATTAACCAATGGAACAACAAAAAGGATAACAAACTAAAATAAAATATGTAGGCATGGAGTCTTAATCTCTCACAGATTATCATATTCCATCAATCTTTAGTGGTCAAGAAAAGTAACCAAACTTAACATACACATTTCTGCATATAAAACCCATAAGATGACATTTTAATTAAAATAACACAGATTTAAATTTCTGCTTAATCAGATTAAAAATATCAAAGCGATTTTACTCAAAACATCTGTAAGTATGGCACTCTTTTTCTGTATTCTTTTTTTGCCCCAAGCTACCAACTAAATTGTAATAATCTTTGCCATGTGTTCACAACTGGAAATGTTCATCTTACCCTATGAATGCTGGTCAACCGGAAATTCTGCAATTAGTTTTGATCTGAGGAATTCCTGAAGAGAAATCATAAGCATATTGTTACTGCAAGATTATTTTCCACTTACATGGCTCTCAAACCCCCAACACACCTAAGAATTTGGTGAAACACACAAAAATACAACGTTTAAAAAGCATGAGTCAGAGATGGCCTCCGATCTTTCAGCAAAAGGTTAGCTGACTGTGGGTCAGAGCTCAAACCCCAGGCTCACCAGGGCAGTAACTCACGAGACACAAATTGCGGGCAGTTCGTTTTAACAGAGAATGCAACATTGTATCTGAGGTGTAGGTACAAATATCCTTGGGACAGTTTTCTCCACCCAGCTCGTTGCTTTGTTGCTCCTGACCTGCAGTGGACACAGACACCACTGTGAAGCTCCATTGCGTTATTTCCAGATTTCCTTTTGATGCTTATGGCTCTTTTCATGCTATTAAGTTTCCAGGTATTATTTCTGATAAGAGCATTACAAATGTGTTACAGGTTTCAAAGTCATTCCCTGTTTACTACTGATAATGCTACAAATATCTCTGGGCTAGGCTCATAGGACACCCCCCTCCATCGTATTTCTTCCCCTTTGGGAACTGAACCTAGAACCTAGTGCATGTTAGGCAGGCACATGGAGCTACATCATCTTCTTCAGTCCTGTTCATGCGATTCTTCTGTGCAAAATTCTAAAATGAGAGCATTGAGCCAAAACAAAACGTGTAGTCTCAGATAGTTAATGTCAATTGATGCTCCCTCCTTACCAGGTTACACCAATAATTTTTCTGGTAGGCAGTACATCAGTTGATTTTTCAGTAGATTAGGAATCATCACTGAAACCACACACACACACACACACACACACACACACACCACCTCCCACTAATCCCACTCATGAAGAAGAATCTCCCTGTCAGCTTACTTCGCCTACTTTTAAAGGTAGGTTGCACCACCCACTATGTTTATTAACTAACGAGTCCCATTCCTCTTCTCTGTTCAATTTCACCAAAACCAGAGATGTCTCTCATGGAAGAGGCAGATGCAGCACTCTGTGGAAGCTCTCACAATGACTTGTCATCGCAGGGTGAAGCCATCATCGCTGTCAACCAAAAGCAACAACTCCAAGTGGCTCAGTTTCTTTGCCCAGGCTAAGCAAATCATTCAGACTAATTTTAGAAACTGCAGCCAAAGTTATCCCTTCTTCCTCCTCAGCAGAACACAAAAGTACTGAGCCAGAAGAATGAAATGTGAAAATCCTAAATGGCAACGTTGCTCAGAATAGCACACAAATCAGCCACTTTAGGCAGGATAAAATGGGGACAAAGACCATCACAGCAATTCTGACAGACCAGCTGCGGAGACAGGGAGCTCTGCTGTAGAGCTCGCTGTGCTAATGAGTGACCAAACTAGCTTCGTGCATACCACTCACTCCCCGGCAGAGAGAGGACACACATGCGCATACTTTAACTTGAAAACAGCCCGGAGACTCTTCCCTCCCACCTTCCAAAAGCCCGGTTTAGAAATTCCTTCTTAGGGATGTAGAAGAAAATCCTCATTCTCCCAAGTGACTAAGGATTAAGGATCAGTTTTCTGACATAGAAAGGAAAGTCCCCAAGGCTCTGGCTGCAGGAGGGGAGGAGTCTGGACACTCTTGTCCTCTTCTGGTCAGTAGGGATGGCAGAAACTGATAGCATGTCCCTGTGCAGTAGAGCAAAGGGCAGCCACACAGCCCTGGAATCCAAACACGCCTTTCACGTGTCTGAATCTTTCTTGCAGAGACAGGTGCAACCAAAAATACTGTTAAGATGAAAGCTGCAGCAAAAATCAAGCACCTTTCTTTTGCCGTTTCCGTTTGTAACGGTGGAGGTCAAACCCAAGGCTTTGACCAGGCTGGGCAAGTGTTCTACCACCGAGGTACATTCCCAGCCCAGAGCTCACAGTCTCTCCTATGACACCACCATGCACGTTGCATTCCAGAAATGGCAGGAATCACAGTGCTACACTCTATCTTCTGCAATCTATATTTTAGGCTCTGATTATACAAAAAATCAGACTCACACATCGCTGATTTGAAAGGTTCTAAAGCGAAGACTTAAAAGGGGACATAACAGCTGGGCATGGTGACGCACGCCTTTAATCCCAAACCCTCAGGAAGCAGAGGCAGGTGGATCTCTGAGGCCAGGCTGGTCTATAGTCCATCACCTGTCCTGCCCCAAGATCCTGTGACCCCATCTTTGTGACTTGCACACAACTCACTGGCTACATCCCTGACTCTGTTTCTCTGATACTGCTCTATGGTACATGTTAATGTCTCAAGTCCCTTGAGGACTAATGCAATCTCTTGTTTCCTTGTGTCCCAGGGATCCATCCCAGAGGATTTTTCAATGGCTAGATGAATAGGTATTGGCAGAACCTGCAAAGAAGGTATGAGTTCCTTCAGGACAGCTAGGATTTGGAGAACTGACAAATGGGGGAGTTATAAGTGTTTCCCCGCCTCGACTGCTCCCATTCAGGTCTTGCCTACTCCTATGAAAATGCTGTGACGGGGTTGGAGAGATGAGTCAATGGTTAAAAGCACCAGTTGATTTTCCAGAGGACCTGGGTTCAATTTCAAAGCACACATCATGATTTTTAATCATGGCTCCCAGTTCCAGGGGGGCTCTGATGCCCTCTTCTGACCTCTGTTCACATGGGTGAACAGACAAAAATGCAGGCAGAGCACTCAGACACGTAAAATAATAAAAGGTTTTTTTGTTAATTGTGAAGAAATATAGAAAAATTGTCTGAAGTGGCATTGAAGTTAGTCTGCCCTGGCGAGAAGTGCTCAGACATCCTCGTGGGGACCACGTCTGGCCGTGCTGCACGGAGTTTCTAGAGGGTCACTACCGTGTGACAGCATGGCACCAGACCGTAATGGATTTCGTTACCCAGTTCTGAGCCAAGAGTAGGAAGATGGCTTGGCTCTCGGAAGAACATGCAAGCAGAGGCAAGCCCACGCCACATACAGTGTGTAAGGGAGAGAAAGGAAGGGTAGGCCATGACAGAACCCGTGGTGTTTACCATCCACAGAGGTGCAGTCAACAGAAGCAGAGTCGAACCCTCCAGGAAGCATACTCATTGGCCAAGTACTCAGTAAACATGACATCTCACAAACCTGAAAGCAGAGTTTCAGTCAAACTCAGCATGACTGCATGCGTCAGAATGATTGCAAGTCACTTTGAATCAGCCATGGGAGACTGGACAAGTTCCACAGCATTCCTAAATGACCTTAACATCTTACACATTAGAATCTCATCATTATTCTTTTGCATGAGTTGGCCTTATGACACAAGAAGGAAAATCCCGAGATGACGTGAGAACACCTGATTATCCAAGTCAGAATATTGCCTGTCACGCCAAGCTGTGCTTAATTCTTAGCCTGTCTTCTTCTTCCAAGACCATACATTGGGGGTGGGGGATGGCAGGAACTTTTCTTGTATCTCAGAACCTGCCAAACACTATCTGCTCCTAAACATTGGAATTTCACAACTGTATGAGCTAAGACCATGTTACACGTCCTCTGGATAATTTTAGTCTACTCTTGAAACAATACCAAACATTAAATGTCTTTAAGTTGCAATAAACCCAGCACTGAGCTTAAGGTAGTAATACAAAGGTTTAATGCTCAGCTACAGATAGGTGACCGCAAAACACAAAGTTGCATAGTTCTTTTTGGTTTTGAAACAGGGTCTCATACAGTTCCCAATGGCCTCCACCTTAATACACAGCCAAGGCTGACCTGGAACTCCTTGATCTTCCTGCCCCACCTCTGAGGGTTAGGATTACAGATGTGTATCCTCTCACCTGATGGTGGTGCCGAGGACCAGACCCAGGCTGTCATGGATGCTGGCCAAGCGTTCTACCGACTGGGCTATTATTTCCGGCCCACAAAGGGTATTTTAAAACGAGCACACCGCTACCCAGCTTCCGCAAATCAGTCATTACACCACACTTCACACTTCTTTAGCTTCGGGAGCACAGATATCCTGCTGCTGTTAAACTGCGCCACACATAATCTGGCTACGAGCTTAGCAGTCTCAGTCTTTGAGCTGTTAGAACTAAGAGTTCAGAGTGCAGGACAGGGCCTAACATACAACAGTCTTCAATAATCTCTGCTGAGTGGAGAGGGCTGTCATGGTTACCAGGCAGGCAAGGTAACCATTCCCTGTGCGTGTTAGGAATGTCACCTCGGCTCCACGGGAAAGAAAGCTGCATAAATTACTTTTCTGTCCCTATGACGAAATACCACGACAGAGGCAACTTAAACGGGTGCATACCACCACCTGGCCTCTGTGGCTGTGGCTAGCTCCACACTCCCATCTTCAGGCAACCTTGATTTGTTAGATCATAAACAAAGTATCACCACAGAGTTCCATATAGAATGTGACCACCCCACCTCCCACCCCCAAGCTTTTTTTTGAGAAAAATAAGAGATGGCTTCCACCCAGATCTCTCTGGAAAAGGGAAACTGAAGAGATTTTGTGAGTGGACTGAGGGCGGGTAGGGATGGAAACAAGGGCAATCAGGCTAGGGGGGGGGACGCTGCGGGGGGAGGGTGCTGAGGGGCACTGCTGTGGGAGGGGCCATTTCAGGGTTAGGCAGACGTCTGGTGCAGGTGGATCTCCCAAGAGTCTCTGAGGTGGACCCCAGCTTAGACTGCTGACCATAGTGGACAGGTAGCCTGAAGTGGCCATCTCCTATGACCAAACCGGTGCCTGGCCCAGCAGTCATCAGAGAAGCATAATCCAGCAACTGACAGAGGCAGATGCAGACCCAGCCAAACATTAGGTGGAGATCAGGAATCCTATGGAGGAGGAGGAGGAAGGAGTGTAGGTCCAGAGGGGTCAAGGACACCATGGGAAGGGTCACAGTCAACTAACCTGGGCTCATAGGGGCTCACAGTGACCGAACTGACAACCAGGACGCCTTTATGGGACGGACCTAGGCTCTCTGCATATACATTACAGTTGTGTAGCCTGGTCTTCTTATGTGACT